TGAGAGGAGGCCAGAGGCCAAAGTTTGGTGTACAGAGTAGAAGCAGGAAGTGCCTCAGGGAAGAAGGCCAATTTGGGAGAATGTCAGAGCCCCTCCTCCAGATGGAGGGTGGGGACGTTCAGAAATATTGAACTCGCTGGTGGACTGATAAAAGAGTGTATTTAGAGAGCACAGGCAGTCATCAAGGCGGTCTAAGCCAAAAAAATTGGATGGACAGACTCAGGCCAGATAGTGGTGAAGCACATGGATTAGGAATTTGAATCCCAGTCCTGCCATTTAATAGTTTTGTGCCTTGAGCAAAATGCTTCACTTCTCCATGCTTTTGCTTCCTCATCTGTAAAATGATCATACCTCAGCCCTGGCTGGTGTGGCTCATGGATTGAGTACCAACCAGCCTGCACACTGAAAAGTCACTGGTTCGATTCCCAGTCAGGGCACATGCCTGGGTTTTAGGCCATGTCCCCAGTAGGGGGTAGTGCAAGAGGCAGCCAATTTATGTTTCTCTCGCACACCAGTGTTTCTCTCCCTTCACTTCTCTCTAAAGATAAATAAAATTGCCCTGGCTGGCGTAGCTCAGTGGATTGAGCATGGGCTGCGAACCAGTGTTGCAGGTTCGATTCCCAGTCAGGGTACATGCCTGGGTTGCAGGCCATGACCCCCAGCAACCACACATTGATGTTTCTCTCTCTCTCTCTTTCTCCTTCCCTTCCCTCTCTAAAAATAAATAAATTAAATCTTAAAAAAAAGATAAATAAAATCTTTAAAAAAACAGAAACAAAATGATCATACCTCAAAAATGTGTTAGGAGGACTTCACTTACAGGAGTGTCTGACTTACAGGTAAATGCTTTGTAACAAATTTTTAAAAATTCTAACAGTGACAGAAATGATGGAGTTCACTGGCAGAATCTACAGGTTGGATGTAGGATATGAGGGAGAAAAGGAGTCAAGAATCAAAACACAAGTTTCCAGCTTGGGTAGCTGATGGATGGTGATGTCACTCAGACAGGAAAGAGCCTGGGGGAACTAACATTAGAGACCGGGAGGATGCTAATACTTCTGTGAAAGCTCACATGTGCCCTAGCCTGTGTGACTCAGAGCATCATCCCATAAACCAAAAGGTCTCAGGTTCAATTCCCAAGAACATACCTGCCTGGGTTGCAGGTTTGGTTCCTGGTTGGGGCATGTGCAAGAGGCAACAAATCTGGTATTTCTTTCTCCCTCCCTCCCATCCTCCCTCTCTTTCCCTCAATAAGCTTGTCCTTGGCTGAGGATTTAAAACAAAAGTGTCACGTGATAACTTAGAAGGCAGGAATGTACTAAGTTAGAAGTCCTAGGTGAGAAGCCCCAGGTAAAAAGCTTAGAAAACAGAGTCTTAGTACTATGGTTACTATTGGTTGCATTTGTCAGGGTAAAAAAACAAAAACAACAAAACACTTTGAAAGTAAAAGGTTAACTGCATCCATGGATAGGATACACATTAAAACACAGAATCTTTGACCCCACCCCCAGACACAGAGGAAAAAAGGAGGGTGGCTGTAGCTCTAATCGGTTAGAGCTATTCATAAATATTTTGACTCTTTCCTGGGCAAAAGGTAGGACTGCAGTTCCCTACCCAGGTGAAGTTGGATGTGGGCCTGTCATTTTGTACTTCCAATAAAATGTAAACAGAAGTCATGTGTGTCAATTGCAGGTGGGTTTTAAAATCCATGCCCTTTTCATTAAACTGTCTTCTTGGCTTTGTCACATGGCTGGCAATGTTCCAGTGACTGCTGTCAGCTTAGGTCAACCACTGATGAGTATTTAGCAAATAAGAGATGTCTTTAAGCCAATAAAAATTTGGGGGTTTTAAGGCAATGCCACCAGCCAATCATGGTAAGAAAAACTGGGAAAATTATCAGTTATGCCTCCTGTACTTGCTTCTCCGGTCAGAAATGTCTCCAATGCTCACTAAACCATCCTTAATCTTTGTAACCGTATGATTAGCGGGACTGACATTCTGCTAGTTTTGTTCTTTCCTATCAACTCAAAGGAGCTTTATCAAGATCCCATTCCCTCAAACTCACAACCTATCAATGGCTTCAAGTTTGCCCTTGGAAAATAGTCCAAACATTTTAACATGACTGGAAGAGCCCACACAGCTCTGCTTGCAACCCTCACCCTGACCTCTGTACACCCTTTAAGATTCATCTAACCGCTGCAGCCCACTCCATTCCATGTTCCAGGCACATTCAACTGCTTAGTTTCTCAAACATGGCCATGCTCTTGGCCTGCCTACTTATAATACTTGTCACCTTCTCTTTGCTGGCATAGTGTCTGCCACCCTTCAGATTTCAGCTCAAATGTCTCAAAGCAGCCTTTTTTGACCACCCTGACCATGTTAGATGTACCCTGTAACAGCCAGTACTTCCAATAACTTAAATGTTATTACTGCTTTTGGTCAGTTTTTGAGCTGACTGTAGGTTCTCTGAGGTCAGAGACTATGTCTGTTTTGGGCACTGAATATACATTCCCCCTCCTAAATGATCCTAGAGAGTAATCATACTTTGTTTTAATCTTAACAAACAACAAAAAAACAAAGTATAAAAAAACAAAAACCCCCAAAAAACAGTAATAGTAAGCCTGAATATTTTTATTTTTCCTTTTGTTGTATGACCTATGTCCTCTGCCCACTCAAAATCTGAATATTGATGTGAGCCAATCAATATATGCAATTAAAAATCGGTAGTAGCAACATTAAAAGGATAAAATTTAAATATATTTTATTTAATCTATCAAATACTATTTTAACTCAGTATATAAAAATATTCATATGTAATCAAAATAAGTAATTAGTAAAATATCCTACATTCTTTTTTGGGGGGTACTGGATCTTTGCTATTTGGTATTTTACATTAGCAGTTCATCTCTAACCCAGACACTAAATTTTCAAAAGTTTAAGCAAAATGTAGCCCTCTTAAAACAAAGTTTTGTTTAACAGAAAAATATTTAACACTGCCCGAGCTTTAAAATTTTAAAAATAAAAAGTTCTGTTTCTTGGTTGTACTAGCCTTATTTCAAATGCTCAATATCCACATGTGGCTGGTAGCTACCATATTGGAATGGTGGATACAGATTATCGTCTCTAATAAAAAATTTCCCTCTATCTGATCTACTCACATTTCCCAATGTTCCTGACCTGAATAAGGCAAATAAAACATTAACTCTAAGTTGCTTAGATTATTCTAAAGTTGACTAATACAGTGACTTGCCTGATTATCCTATATGGTTAAACTGAACTGCCACCTTTACTCATGATCCTACCCTACAATTCTAATTTTCTAGCCTTGAAATGTTTTTGAAAGGCTATATATGTATGTATATAGGGTGGCAATGCAAGAAAGTGATGCTATCTAGGGGGAATCGTGCCTTGAAATCTGCCTGCAAAGGAATGAAAGCTTATCTTTAAAAAACATTTAGAAGATCAAAACACTGATGTTGTCTTGTATATACATATAGATGTGGTAATACAGCTGTGGTTTAATTCTCCCCTCCCCCCTCCCCGGCTAGTGTGGTTTAGTGGGTTGGGCATTGTCCTGCAAACCCACAGGTAGCTTGTTCAATTCCAGGTGGTGGTGGGTGCCTGGATTTTGGCCTGGGCCCAGGTTCCTAGTCCCCTGTTGCGGGTGTGAGAGAGCAGATCCCAAATACTTCCCTGTATTTCTCTGGCACATCAATGTTTCTTTCCCTTTCTCCCTCCAAAAATCAATTAACTTTAAAAATAAAGATTTTTTTTTCACTTAGATATACACATCAACTTGTTCTACTTACTTACACATTCATTGGTTGCTTCCTGCTTGTTCCCCGAGAGGGGATCAAATCTACATACAACCTTGGAGTATTGGGAGGACGCTCTAACTGAACAACCTGGCCAGGGCTGACACTGTGGTGGTTCTAAAAATGTCCACAAACTCTGACATCCCTCCCTTTGAGAGGTGAAGTTTAATATTCCACCCTTTGAGCGTGGGCCTAAACAAGTGACTCACTTCTAACATAGAATATGGCAACCCAAGATTAGGTTATTAAAGACTGTGGCTTTCATTATGGGCATGCAATCTTCTTCGGATCACTTGTTTTGGGAAAAGGCAGCTGCCAAGCTGTGAGTTGCCCTGTGGAGACGCTCACATGAAGGAGGTCTCCATCCCAGTACCTAGCAAGGAATCAAGGGCTTTCATCCAATGGTCTGCAAGAAGTTGAGGCCTGTCAATGACCATGGGTGGGCTTGGAAGGGGATCCTTCAGTCATAGTCAAGCCTTAAGATGACTTTATAGTCATAAGGCTTGGCTGGCAATTTGAATCTTAACCTTGAGAGAGTCTTGGACCAGACCACTGAACTTAGCTTCTTCCAGATTTCTGACCCATAGAATCTATAACATGATGTTTATTGTTTTAAGTTCCTAAGTTTGGGGGCAGTGTGATATGCAGCAATGGAGTATTCATAGAATAGCTTATGGTTTAAAAAAGCTCATTGCCAAATAAAGTGTAAATCAAGTAAGATACTTTTCCCAAGCAGCCCAAAATAAGAATATCCAAATACCTGTTTCCAGGCCAAGAAAAGTCCTTAGAATGTTTGATATAACACCACACAAGTTAAGTGTATATTGCTAAAATGACTAGCTTAAAAGATGGTACTAATTTGGATATGTAATTCTTGGAATTCTCCCCCCGCCCCACCGCAAGATGATGGCACTCCTCTAGAGTCATATCTCAATGGGTGGGTAAATTAAGCCAGATGTTTTGAAAACCATAACATATACTGGGAAATTAGGATTCTTTGTGATATTTACATTACAGGTTTTCTTTGGAATTAGGAGAAATAACCACTAGATGCCACTGTTTTGTTTTTTTTTAAGGTTACAAAGCAGGATGAAAGAGCTGTTCAGAAACAAAATCAATCTTCATGTCATAATGAACACTAGAACAGAAATTTTTAGATTATGTCAATAAAAAGCCAAGACCCCGTTTTCACTGCACAGAAGTTTATTGTGAAAGTAAATTAAACATACAAACACACATTATGGCTAATGGTGGCAAAAGCAATCTGGTAGGTTAAGGCAAGTTTTAATGGAGATGAATTTAGAAAAGATGACGCAATGATGTAATTCTGTTTAAATATAGATTATGGAAAAATATCGAATTGCATCAATAACTTAATAAAAGTAGCTCCAAAGCCTTCACTATCAGAGAAAAAGGGCTCATGATCTTAATGCCAGCATTAAGACAAATGGAAGCAGCATTGTGCTAAATGACAGGAAAAATTCAGTATTTACAGAATGGCAACATTAACATTTAATAACATTTGATCGTAGTTACTGGTGGACTAAAAGCCCTTAGCTAGAAGCAATAGAGAAAAATGTACCATCATCATCACGTTATTAAAAAAAATTTAAGTGCAGAATTCAAAAACCAAGGAGCTCTGTGAGAAAGTAACCTTAAAACACCACTGTAAGGACCACTTAAAAGGTGATTCCCTCAGGGGATGTTAGGGCACTGAGTGTGTAAACATGTGAGCTGTACAACACCAAATAGCAACCAATTCATTTATAGTACTTAGATACACAAGATCAGCATGGTCTTTTATGATGTATTACTGTTTATAACAATTTAAACACACTCCTTACCATGCATGACTTCAAATATATAACAAACATTTTTATTCTGAGATACAGGATATGTTTATGAGTTATAAGACCTATATACAATGAAAGTCACACCTTCCTCATCAATCAAGTATATATATATGTTTTAAATGCAATGACCTTATTCAGACTTCAATTCATTTGCTGAACTGACCATGTCAGTTTTTCAAACTCTTTAAAATAATGCCATTCTATTATGATAAAATACATTTTTGCAAAAATTCAGAAATGTAGTAACATTTAATGAATGTGACCATGAAAAATATTGTAAGGAGGTACCAAATGACTTAGCACTTTTTTCCAGTCTTGTATTAAAAAAAAAAAAGTTGCATTCAATTTGACAGTGAGCCTGTTTAAAAAATATTCTCATACTAATTCATCTCAAAAGGTTCTATTAATAGTCCTTTTGGAAAATACCATATATAACCTGTGAATTTGTTTTCATAATAATTAATGGAAGAAAATGTATTATCTGCACAGATGAACATTTTCTCTCTAAGACTAATCTTTTATCACCCAGCATTGTTTTTACAAAAGCATGCATTATAAAATACACATAAAAGCAAATATCTTAAACATGATTTTAAAACATTATCACCCTTGTAGCTGATTCATCACTGTCTCCAGTTTAATATGCTGTTACATATATGAAGAAGCTCCAGTATCCCTTTTCTGAATGACTTAAAAAAAAAAATCCCTGAATAAAACAGAAGCCAGCCTGTGACTTCTTTAGGCATTTCAGTAGAATATTATTATCTATGGAGAATATCTCCACAGAAACTCATGATTATGAAACAAAATCTCAAACAGATTAGGGCAGATTAGACTTAATGCCAATTTAAAACTTTTATGTTTAAAAAGGAAAGAAAAGGAGCTGATTATCAACATTTAAAAGGATACTGCAACTTTAACAACTGTAAACTTTGGTAGAAGGCTGTGGCAGACAGCTCTATGCTACTGGGTTTTTAGCTTGTAAATAATGCAAACGTATCAGCAGTTTTAAGATGCCATAGACAAAAAACAAACAAACAAACAATAACACAAAAGAAAATGGAGGAAAACAAAACAAAAACCCAGAATGCCTAACTGAAGTGAAGCTGTATAACCAACACATCTAAAATCACAAAAAAAGAAAAATTAGAGAAACTGATTAGGGAAAAAAACCTGTGATAAAAATTGAAATTTCTTGACTTGTTTTTAAATGACATGAACTTTTAAATTAAAATGGAGGGGAAAAAGAGCTTTACAAGTATATAGTTTCAACTCACTAAAATAATGCCAACAAGGTAAGCTTGCATAGAAAAAAATTAAAATTATTACTGGCTACATGCATACAAAATTAGAAATGCAGGTATAATCATAGTGCAAAACCATGGCAGTTTGTGATGTCTTGTTACTGCCTAAGGTTAAGAAATAGACTGTAGTACCTCCAGTTATCACAGTTTCTGGTCTTTTAATCAATTATTTTTGCTGACTAGAAACAATGTATATGTAAAGATTGGGGAGCACATCTGCTGTGCTACTAATTAACGGAGTTTGAGGTCATCACCACCACCTAAACTGGAACCAGGACTAGGGTCTTGTTGTCTTCTTGCCTGAAATGACAAAAAATCATAGTGTGTGGTCAAAACATGTTTGAAAATCAAAGTGTTAGATAAACAAAAGACAATAGCACACAAGAAAAGTTTGCAACTAAAGTATATTCAGCCAGTATCTCTCCACATGTAAGACGAAAAATAGCTATTTAAATTATGTATGAAATATTTGGCTAAAGTTTCCTTAAAAAACAAACAAACAAGAATAGAAATCTCGTATTCAAAGAACATAATTGAAATATGTACCATGTATAAAAGAACAATTAATCTATTGATACATTTACTGTTTTGGGACTAAAAGGTTTAACTTTAACATATCACCCAATCACCTTAGAAGCAAACTTTCCCTTTTAGTAATAGCAGACATTTATGAGCACCAACTATACACTTGGCACAGTTTTAAGCACTTTCCAAGGATGAACTAATTTAATCCTTGCCAACCATCCATAATATAGTTGCTATTATTTATCTATTTTACAGATGAAGAAAAATGGTTGAAAAAGACAGTGAACTTCATTTCTTACTGAATTCCTTCTCTGCCACCTGAGCTCGAACTAAAAATCTCCACGCCTCACAAAATAAAATGCAGCCCTGGCTGGTGTGGCTCAGTGGATTGAACATTGAACTGTAAACTGAAAGGTCACCAGTTCGATTTCCAGTTAGGGCACATGCCTGGGTTGTGGGCCAGGTCCCCAGTTGGGTGAGTATGAGAGGCAACCAATTGCAGTTTCTCTCTCTTTCTCCTTCCCTTTCTCTCTCTCTAAAAAGAAATAAATAACATCTTAGGAAAAAAAGAAACAAAATCCAGAATCATTATGGATAAAGTATTGTCTCAAAAGCAAAAAGAGAAATGTAAAATTAGAGTCCTTGGTGTACCACACACTGATGTTTCTTTCCCTTCCCCTCTCTAAAAATAAAATTTAAAAAATATTTTAGTTATTTTTACAGCGGGGAAGGGAGGGAGAAAGGGAGAGAAACACTGATGTATGAGAGAGACATCAATTGGTTGCCTCTTGCACGCCCTCAACTGTGGACCCAGCCCACAACCCAGGTGTGTACCCTGACTGGGAATCAAACTGGCCACCTTTCAGTTTGTAGGCCAAACTCAATCCACTGAGCCATACCAGCAAGGGCTTGATTTTAATTCTTAATATCTAAAACAGTGGTTAGAGCATTCTTGACCTTCAAAGAAACATCTCAACAAGTCACACTTGTACTGTAAGATCAAATTCAGTAAGAAGCTCCAGCTATGTCATCATTTCTTAAGAGGGTTATGTTGTTTACATGGAAATGACACTGCTTTATTCACTTTAAATAAATCAAATAAAACCCACCACTACCTTCAGTAATCTTTCTCATAAATTTTTATATATTCCTCTAGCAGAACTTAACTATTTTTTTATTAGCAAACTGTACAATGACTAAATTTTAGCACATTCCTTTTAATTAACTACTCAGGTTAAATTTATGCCACTTGGTTATAGGCTGAAAGAGCTATGGTATATGTATGGATCAAGAAAACAATTTATATTCCATACAGAATCAATGCTCAAAGTAGTGTAGGGACAGATCAATTCTGCAAAATCAAAGATAATGACTTGAGTATCTGGTTTCGGTCAATGAAGGTGAGAAAAGGGGCTGAGCAATGAAGAAACACTGAGAAAAATCAATCCTAATCACATATTTATAAATCACTACAAATCTACCAAAGATACTTTGTGAAAATGGTATTTCAGCTTTTGTTTTGAGGTAAAAGTAATTTTCAAATTATTTTAATAATGGGATGGCTCCAAAAGAGTACAAAGAACAGTCGGCCATCAGCAGCTAAAGTTCTCCCTGGTCATGGCTATCTGTACACAGGTTGCCATGGGTTGGTTTGTTTCTATTTTTGGTAAATGCATAGAGAATAAAGTTTTTTTGCTCTTTACTTGTGTTTTTAGTTTCTATTTACATTGTTAAGAAAGAATGAGGAAGACACTGTGAAGGACGGTCAAGAATAGGAAAATTAAAAGAGAAGTCTAGCCTTGGCCGGCATAGCTCAGTGGATTGAGCGCGGGCTGCTAGCCAAAGTGTCGCAGGTTCAATTCTCAATCAGGGCACATGCCTGGGTTGCAGGCCATGACCCCCAGCAACCGCACATTGATGTTTCTCTCTCTCTCTCTCTCTCTCTCTCTCTCTCTCTCTCTCTCTCTCTCTCTCTCTCTCTCTCCCCCCTCCCTCCCTCCATTCCTTCTCTAAAAATAAATAAATAAAAAATCTTAAAAAAAAAAAAGAGAAGTCTGACGGAGTATCAGTGAGAGCAGAAGAGGAAAGGATGAGAGATCTGGCATACTGGGAGGAAACTGAATGCTAGAAAGGAAGATGTATGGGCGCTCACATGAAGGAGACAAATACAGAAACATGTTTAGGTTCAGCGAAATAGCTTCCACAGGACTGAAATTCAACAAATGGATGAGCTGTCTCAAGAAGCAATGCTTTCTACTGCAGCAGTTTTCTAATGGAGGATGGATGTTTCAGGAGGAATTCTTTTGTGGGTAATAACCCTAACTGGATGATGGTGAAGAAACTCTGAACTCAATTATTCTAAAAGCACAAAGTCCATAATTTCTAGTTTCTTTCTCCCTAGTCAATACACATAGACCCTTGGTTCTAACTATTTATTAACAGTTTTTCAGAACAGGGTTTTAATAGAAAGCAGATACCCACGAGCCTTTTTAGAATACAATTACATCTTTAATATTTATAAAGAATTAGTGTAGATTTTAGTACAGATCGCTTTCTACCAGTTGTTCCAGTTTTCTTTCTTTTAATATATGACCAAGAAACAAGGCAAATACAATTTCCAGGAGTCAACCATGGCATGAATTTAAAATGAAGAGATGGCCCTGGCTGGTGTGGGTCAGTTGGTTGGGCATCACCCTGCAAAGTGAAGATTGCTGGTTCAATTTTCCCCTGGGCTGCAGGTTTAGTTGCCAGTTGAGGCATGTATAAAAGACAATTGATCAATGTTTCTCTCACATCAATGTTTTTCTCTTTCTTTCTCTCTCCCTTCCCATCTAAAAAAAATGACAAGAGACAAAAAGTCATCAGGTGTTAGGAGTTTTCCCTACTGGTCAGGACTATGCAGAAGTAGCCAAGAGTAGCAACAACCAAATTAAAAAGAGTAAAATTTCTTGGTTAACTTCCATTCTTTATTGTCAAGATCATCAAATTGGCATGAACATTTTTTTAAAGATTTTATTTTTAGAGAGAAGGGAAGGGAGGAAGAAAGAGAGGGAGAGAAACATTGATATGAGAAACATCAATCATTTGCTTCTCGTAGGTGCTCTGACCTGGGACCAAACCTGCAACCTACACATGTGCCCTGACCAGGCATCGAACGGGCAACCCTTCGTCTTGTGCAGTGATGCCCAACCAACTGAACTACACCGGTCAGGGTAGCATGAATATTCTTCATGACAGATCGTCGTGGTAGTTCAAAATAGCCACAAATTATTGAATGTATACCATGTCCAGATACTTTCTAATGGTTTTATGTTTGACATTTGGCTAAAAGAACACAGATTTATACAATTTTAGAGCATCACAGTACTTCAGAGATCTGGTTCAACTCTCATTTTACAGATGATTAGACTGAGAGCCCAAGAAGGTTAAGTGATTCCATTAAGATTACACAGTTAGCTGGTGGCAGTGAGACCTCAGGAAAAGATGAACTTTTAATACACAATTAGCATTACTGTTAATTAGCCTCCACTGCTATTTCTCCCCATTTCTAAGGATGGAGAAGAAAGCAGAAATTTTAGGTTCCAATATGAAAGAAAAGAATGTACTTTCCCCAGATTCATTATTAAAAAGGTAAAAAAAACTCAAGTTGGCAGATAATTATAAATACCCATCAAATAAAGAGACTACAAAAGTCAGTCTAACAGGGATGTCAAAAATATAATTCTTATAAAAGTATATCACTTCACAAATACTTAAAATATAAAGTGGTACTTAAAAATAAAAGATAGGGAAAATAGTGTACATTACTGGACTTGGATGGGGATGGCTCTACCACCTTAGCTAAAGGTAAAGCTCTTCATTCTCTCTCAGCCTCGGTTCCTCAAAGTGAAGATACCCCTTGATCATTTAAGAGTCAAGTGTAAAGGAATATCGTTGTGTATCCAGTCATGTCATCATTTCTCACACATGGCACATAATCAGTACTCATGCTATTGTCATTAACAACAAAGCTGCTTAGCACTTTCCAATTTATCTATATAAATTTCTCAAATGTTAGAAAAAATTGCATCCTGTAGTTAAGAGTAAGTTTTATAAACTAAAACATGGTTAAAACAAAATACATTTTAATAAAGTGTATGTTTCCTATAATAGACAGCAAATTAAGACTCTCGCCCGCGCTCTCTCTCAGTGTGAGAGAGAACAGACTTAGCATCCTCTTCCTCATTAGTCCTCTCCTGACTCTCATCCTTAGTCTGAATCCGTAGTTCATATTCCCGGTTCACTCTCACCTAATGCCTTTAGCCAACACACACCTCAGAAAGGCCCAGTATAGACAGATTCTTCAGTTAATTTGTCTTTACACAATATGAGAGTTAACTGACTTGAAAACTGAAGGCTGTGGTTATTTAAAATAAATAAGGTTAGGATTTTTTTCTTGGACCACACAGAATAGAAGGCTCCAAAAACATACAAAATACAAATACAAAAACCACATAAAGCCTTTTGCCTGTTTTTATTTCCAAATAGTTTCCACATAAAATTCTCCTATGATTTGTTGCATTGCATTAAAACTCTCTAAAGTAGAATAAACAATAATTATTTACCCATTCTGTTACATTAAAGATAGCAATTTATTTGCTAACGCTTTATAACCTAACCCAATGGAACCATTTTCTAGATAATGATAGAGAAAATCTCCTTCAGCACTGTCACTTTGCAGCTGAATTAAAAGCAAACAGTGCCCTATCACAGTTTTAGGTTAAGAGGCCAATCAA